TTCTAAAGTGAAGAAAGTAACCGTATCATTTTAACCACAATAGCATTGAAGAAAAGTGTGTAAGCTTTTGCAATGAAAAACTCAATTCCTAGTCCTTTTTTTTAAATTTAGTCCCACATAAACATGTTTGATCCATGTCGTTAATGAAAAACGAAATATGAAATTGAAATAATTTAGTAACATTAGCTAGAGATGAATCTAAAATTTGAAACTAAATTAAAAGTTTAAAGTAAAAATAGAGTTTAGAACCAACGAATATGTGATATCGTGCACGAATGAGTATTATGTTTGCAAATTGCAAGTAATAATTCGTAAAACCATAGACGACATATCTTTAATTTACTCCATTCACAATAAGCTCCATAGATAAATAATATCCTGGTCAGTGTCACCAAACATGGGCCGTGGTTTGCTATAAGTCCACCAATGCTGCCCTATAAAATCTTACGAAGTATATTTTGGGAAATGTGATGAAATAATTTGCTGGTCCCCACGCATGGGCCATAGTTTTGTTATAAGTCCATCAGTGTTGCCTTACAAAAACTTACAGATTATTTTTGGAAATGTAAATAAAATAATGTGCGTTAAACGACATAGCAATTAATTAGAAAATTACTATTTCATCACATGTAAATTACTATTTAATTAGAAATTTACAACAGAGCAATTTATTAACTAAACAAAGTTATTAATGAATTGAAAATGAAATTGTTTTTTTTTATTAATAAGTGTGTACTATATAATGAAAGATAACTATCTTATTTCTTTAATCTTTTTAAAATGACAAAACATGGATTTAATTAGTTACAATTTGTATTAGTAAGGGTCCGGTATAATAATTAGTGAGTTTCACTCTCAGCGAAATGATCAAATTTCAATCTCGAAGAAGAAAATTAGTAGGAAGACTTCCTATCAGTAACAATATAAAAATACTTTGGTCTAGAGTTCACATTGCGTTGAGGGATTACTTTTTTAATGAATTGAGTCTGAGTTAAGGTTGAACTAGGCCTAATTCAATTCAACTCACCTTACCTTCCAAAAAAAAATTATTAGTCTATATATTTTAGAATTAATAGGTGAGTTAGTTAACAACTTATAACCAATTCAATTACGTTCTAAGAAACCTTTTTGTCCATTTCGAATGTGCCTTGTTGGGGCATCCAAGTGACTAGACTTCACACTATTTTCCAACGGAAAAAAATATAATTAATTGATTCTTGATTGCTTTTTGTAATTTTTTATTTTTTATTTTTTATTTTCATGACTGAGTCTTGACATAATGGAAGCTAAGGTAAAATTATGAGTAACGTTAGTTGAATAGTCAATTGATAACTGAAAAAACCATATTCTCCGTAATGGTTATTGGAAGATTCAGAGTACGCATCTAGTCCAAAACTATGCAGACAGCGTGTATTATTTTGTGAAACACCTGCCGGGCTTTGAGCTTCAGCGAGACTTTTTAGAAAGTGATTCTGGATATTATTTTAGATGCTTGTGATTGTCTTCTAACATAACTGAAAAAAAAAAATTGTATCCTTTTCACAATTTTCATAGGATCCTTGCTTACCTCACTGTACGTCCTTTATAGAATTATAGTTGCTAAAATGATTTTTATCTTTTGGGTATAATACATGGGATAAGATTCGTTTACAAATTTTTTTGCAAATTACATTAAGTACGATCGGTCGTACACTGCATGATTAAAGTATGACCGATCGTACTTAGTGTAGTTTTTAAGAGTTTGTAAACAAAAAAGTTTGTAAATATAACATGCCTCATAATACATTATTGAAAACACTTTCTGTTATCAAAAAAAAAAAAAAAACACTTTCAACATTAGTGCCTACTCATATAAGATACAAGTGGTTCTGGCCCATGTCAAAATAAAAAAGTAGCCCAAGCTCATGTGGCCCAAATAACAACAGCAGGACAAACTCATCTGCAAAATGAAGTGCCCTCTGCAATTCACATACGTGCCACCAATCATGACAAAATGAACTTGCCACGTGAGATTTCTGTTGTAAATTTGTTATGAAGTTAGTTTTGATAGTTGAGTCTGTAAACTAATTTTGGCGCGCTTTCTTATTTCATCTTGGTTATGTATATTGTATCATGTATCAAATCACAGTAATGAGAAATGATGAATGATTTTCTCTTCTCTCTGGTTCACTTCTTTGAGTTCTTGAGTTTCAATACCTACGTTGATATTTGACATTCTTGGTTTTCCCTTTGTTTCCATATTAGGTGCGGTGGCAGAACCAGAAATTTTTGAGGGGGCAACGGATCCAAAAAATATCATTTTTGTCATAACATTTAGTGATAGACTTTCGGAGGCATTGACTCTGGAAATTTTTTTTTAAAGAAAGTTTTAAATACATTAAAAAACAAAAAATATTATAGCGAACATATATACTTCGTAAATTTCTTTGGATCGTGTAGCCACTCTCCCAAGTTCCTAGGAGTGTTCGCGGTCTGGATTGGATCGATTTTGAAAGTAAAAGTTATCCGATCTAATCCCTTCGGTTTGGATTTTTTTCAAATCTGATCGGATAATATAGTTTTTTTTTTTGGCAATGAAATGAAGCTCCACATAAATAAAATTTTGCTGATGAGATATGGCTAGGTTTTTTCTTGGGTTTAGTTAATGGGTTAATGGGTCTTGGGTTTAGAATTTTTTTGGCTATAATTGGGGAAAAACCCAAGTAGGTATAGGAGAATTAATATATTGGATCGATTTGGATTGGATCTGTTTTCATCAGCCAAACCGAAAATCGATCCAATCCAATTAAAATTTGCGATTTTTTCGGTTATCGGTTTATTCGGTTATCGATTTTTCGATTCGATCACCGCAGTTTGAATTGGTTTGGATCAATTGATGAACATCTCTACAAGCTGTTATAATAGACAATAAAAACACATTTAACTATGCAATTCTAGCTACAAAGTTCCAATTAATCTAGCAGCCATTTTTTTTTTATGGAATAAGTGTTATTTGAAGACAGTGGGTGATATTAAATCACTAAGAGATTTGAACCCATGTATAGAACAAAAGAGATAATATCAGAAATATCATACACAGTGCGATTATGAAAATTAGAACAGACTTACTTGTTGACAGTATAAAGGAACAAACAGATGAATGTATGCAGTATGAGGAATTAAATCCGAGCCCACAGAACGTGTCTCCTTAAGATAATTTGCCCCCTCACTGATGCCAAAGGTTGATGGACAAGAGTCTCCCAGGATAAAATGAATTTCGTCTGAAGAGTGGTAACACTACCAGTCAACAGCCCAAACGAACACAACAATTGCCAGAGGAAAGTACATCAGAAATCGGAAAGAAGAATGCAAACCAGAAGAAGGAAAAATTCCAGCAGAGTAACAGTGCAGAAAATTGGATAATTTTTCTGGGGGGTCAGGGTCTATTTATAGATTTTGACCGGTCACGATGAACCGTTGCCGGCGGCACTGGAGGGAAGCAATGAATAGTTCACAGGTTAAAAAATAATTTAATAAAAATTATTTTTTTTAATTTACACACACGTAAAAACCGAACTGAGCTCACCTAGCTCCTTCCCCTCCACAAAATGTGTAGCGACCCAAGGGCCAATTTATGAGTGTAAGGTGGGAGCTTATAAACTCTTTTACCTCCTACTAGTTGTCCAATGTGAGACTTCTTAAACCCACACACCCCTTCAACTTTCCTTTTCTCTTTTCTTTCTTAACCCACTTCTTATTCATAACTAATAGGTTGTCTACACAATTTCAACATAAATTCCAACAATAAGCAAACATATAATCAGATGAACAAATTGGTAAAATTTGATAAAATTAACTGGTAAAAAAAGTGGGGCTTTTGCTTTCAGAGGACCCGGGGGATGAAATTTTACCAATTAATAAATTATAAGTAAATTAATAAGAAATATGAAAAGAAATCCATGCTTTCCTTTCAATAATAGGTTTCCTTTTAATAAGATGTTATAAAAAAAGTCTATATATTGGTAAAAAGAAATATATGTTTACGTGGATTATATCACTTGCAGTATTCTTTAATTAAAAAACTATTGTCAAAAGGCTTTAAGATGGGATTTGAATTTTTTTAGAGTAATTATAGTAGGAATTGCAACTACTAACAACAAATAGAAAAAATGAGTTTTAAAAATGTACAATTCATTATTAAAGTATTTATATTTTTATCAAAATGTAATCCGTCAAAACTACAACACACTATATTTCAATAGGATAATGATAGCTACATATATAATTTCTTTCACATGTATACATCTCAAATGAGGGGGGAGGGGTGGAGTTTCAAATTTTAAGGATTATGAAATTGGTGCTTTACTGTATATGCTATTAGATGTTAAACTACATAGTAAATATCAACCAAAAAAAAAACTACATAGTAAATACTATTCAAACATCTTATTTGAGAAATAAGCATATTTTATTTTCTGAATATGTTTGAGATCAGAACGCGCTTCCCACTTCCAATTTCAGTTTGTTTTTATAACATGTTTGTACAAAATTTACTTCTAAATCCTCTTTTTAAAAAAAATTCCTTCAAATTTTTTTGTGGGGGGGGCGGATGCCACCCCCTGCCCCCCTAAATCAGCCTCTGATTAGACAATTTGAGATTAGTGACAAAACTTTTGCATTCTATGTGATGAAGGAAATGAATTTCATCTAAATGGTGGGCATACCACAAAAAAAGGGAGTAACGACATAATAATTCTGTAACCCTTTCTAGTCAACAGAGCTAAAGAAAAAGCAAAGAATGGCACGACTATTGCGGATTGCAAATGATAAGCATTATCACTCGTTATATCACTGTTTTTTTCCCTGTTCTTGCTTGCTCTTTTGCTCTGATTGGACTTGGATTTTACCAAGCATCTCTATATTCTCCGCTTTGAGCAATAATTCACATTTCTATCTAATATCTAAGGTGCCCTTGTGCTGAAAACATTCAACAACGATAATGCAAGAGTGTTGAACAAAACATGGCTGAACAGGTAAACTTTTCTCCACCCCATGTTTAGTTTTTTGGAATTTTCCTCGAGATTCATGTTTTTTCCTCTGGGATTTTCAGTGGTGGGTCTGTGTTTAATTTCTTTATAAGATTCTGAAGTTTGTGGGTCTACGTACATCTGATGAATGCATTGTTGTTTCTTTGTGTTTCGTTTCTTCTGTTGTCGGCTATATGAAGTCAGTGCTTTCTCTGAACCATTTTTTTCCTACAATTGATTTGATGTTAGGATGAGGACTAGACTCTGGGTTTACGGCCACTGAAGGCGAGGATTGAATTCGTCAGAAACGGTAACAATTCCGGGTCTATATCATTCAACACTTTACTAATTACTGGCTCCCAATCTTCTTCTGCAAATTCTTCATCAGATTTAGACAGAGGTCAGTCAAAATTAACAAAAAGTATGATAACATTTTTTTTAGTTTGATTTTATTTGTTTGTAATGTTTATGACCCTTTTCAATTATACCAATTGTAAAAAAAAAATCTTCTCATGCAAAACTTAGTAATTTAATCTTATAAAGTTATCAAATTTTGTAAAACAAACGTAAACTTAAGTAGCAACTGCAATTTAGAATTCAAATTATGTTTAGTTTATCTTTATGTTAATTAGTTTTAAGTTTGTTTTATCTTATCTCATGAGAAAAATTAATTATTTTACTATTGGCAGGGTATTTTACTTCATATCTTAGCAAATGTAAGTAGCTACAAATAGATAGTCCATTGATTACAAGAGGAATCAATGAATTAAGAAATCGCAATATTCTTTTTAAATTATCTCCTCTTTTAGTCTTTTTGTTATTGTTCTCCTTCTCCCTTACCCCTCCCTTATTCTTGATCTAACTGTGGGGTGTTTGGTTCAAGTGAAAATTTTAGTTCACTAGGAAAATGTAATTACCAGAGATCTACAGGGAAAGTGAATTAAATAGGAAAACTAAAAAAAAGTTGTTTTGTTGGAAATTTTACCAAACAAATTGTTTAAAATTTTTGATATGTATGTTTGGTTGAGGAAAAAATATTGATGGATAAATGATATAAATTTACAAATATAACCCCAATAATATATAATATATATATATATATATATCAGAAACCAACTCATCTAGTTCTCTATTCTCTAAACCGAAAATTCTCACCACCTCCATCTTGTTGTTCTATTCTTAACCGAAACTAGCCTTGGTGTTTCTATTTTGCATGTCATCAACTAGCCGAAGCTCGTAAAAGGGAATTTTGTGTGTGGATGTTGCTGAATCAAGAATGGAGCATTTGTTGAGAGCTTGCTACATTATCGATCTAAACATAAGGACTTGGGTCTAAACTGTAGGGGTTTTAGGAAAGGATTACAAGAGTCAAGGAAGATAAACTACTAACTCTGCGAAAATTTCATAACAAGCTGGTATCACTTCTTCCGGACGTCGTTTGCAGATTTGCAAATTTTACCACATTCACAAGGAAGATAAGCTTATGCGCTCACGGGCGCTACAGACAAGAAAGATAACATAATCTTTCTATGAATCTTTCTTTGAATCTTTCTTTACTCTTCAGAGGGGTATTTTGGTCTGGGTTGCCTTTCACCTTCCGCATTTACCTGGCTAACCAACAAAAACCATGTCCCAAATGTCTATCTAAACAGTGACTGTTGCTGGATTTCTACGACCAAACCTGCTTTGCTATGCAAGTAGAATATGTGGGGAAATTTTAAAAATCTGCGTACCAAACAAGGACTTCGACTATACCCAAGTTCATTTGCATGGGCAAGTTTTAAGAAAGCCCTAACCAAACAGCACCTCACTCTCTTTAATTATTCTCCTTTTTCCTTAATATCCCCTTCTTCTAATTTTTATCATTAGATTGGGGCTTTCATTCCTTAACTCACCTTCCATGGCTATATATGTTCCCCTTCGTAGCAATCACAACCATGAATGACCCTTACCAACTAATTCGATTTAGTTTAACGGAGATGAATGTCATGAAAATGCTTGAGAAACTTTTCAAAAAAAATGGTTATATTGTGTTCAATGGGGAAGTTAAATCCATAGGTGATACCTACACAATATGCAAAGAAGACTCAATGCTTCAAATTTGATCTTGGTGGAGCCGCAACTCAACCTCGAGGACGAGGTTGTTTCCAAGGGCGATGAAATGTAGCAACTGTCATTTAGAATTCAAATTATGTTTAGTTTATCTTTATCCTAATTAGTTTTAGGGTTCGTTAGATGTCTTGTTATAGGACATCCTTTTGCTCCTACAACCCATTTTTAACTATGTATTTCGGAGATTACATAGTTATAATATTAAAGTTATTTTTTTTCTCTCTTCCACGTCAGCAAAAAAAGCAACTTTAATATTATAACTATCTGCTCCCAGAATACATAGTTAAAAATGAGTTGCAGGATAAAAATCTCATTCCTACAACATAATACTTATATTTCCCTTAATTTTAAGTTTATTTTATCTTATCTCATTAGCAGAATTAGTTATTTTATTTCAAATCATGTTATCAGGCATTTCATTTCATCTATTAGTAAATGTAAGTAGCTATAAATAGATATAATCCACTGATCACGAGAGAAATCAATAAATTAAGAAATCATAGTTTTCCTTCCAAATTATCTCTTCTCTCATAATCTTTCTCTTATTCTTCTCCTTCTTCCCTTATTCATTTCTTATTCCTGATCTAACTTCTCTATGAGTCTCTTCAATCATTCTCATTTTCCCCTAATATCCCCTCCTTCTAATTTTTATTGCTATAAGGATTCATATTTTTCTTTCTTTCTCTTCTCTTTATATAGGTCAAGAAATAAAATTATTTTTTATAATATGAGATACAATAAAAAAAATTTAATACATGAAAACTTCTTTAAACTTCTGTGCCTAAACTGGAAAGGGCCAACTACGGAGGGTGACAGTTTTTCTTTTCTTTCTTTCTTTTTTCTTTTAAGTCCTGGAGAGGTTCATAATGGATACGGTAGAAGTTCATGGGAGATCTTAATGGAAGGGAATTAAAAATAAATAATTAAATTAAGGAATTTGAATCCTTATCTATTTTGTAAATGTCTTATAATTTTATTGACTGAATTGTGTCAAAAGATTATGTAGCTAAAGAGCTGAGAGGGCGGCCGGGCCAAGAAAGTATATAATTTTTTCTTTTTTTGGTATGCTAGTCTTTTCAATTAATTATGAGAAATATAAAAGTAACTTCTAAAGAAACAAGAATTACTCGAAGAATTATATGTCTTATATTTTTATTTCTACTTAGCTGAACGACGTCGACTAAATTATATATATAATTGGAGCAACTAATTAACATGTTTCTTATGTCATGTCATGCCCTTTGCTTCATTTAGTTGCTGCATAATTTTCTTTGCATTTGACAATCAAGGATCTTACGAGACATTAGCTATGATTGAACTATAAAATGAAATGTAATATAATGGGATATGATGAATTAATGAAATGAAATAAAAATGTTAAATGATTCTTTAAATATTTTACAATAAAATAAAATAAAGTTTATATTTCATTATTTGAAAAATTATTTAAGGAGATTAATAAATTATTATTATTATTTTATTTTATACTTTTAAATTAAGAGGAGAAAAACATAAATATTAGAGAGAATGGAATATAATATATCTCATTGCATTCTATTTTATTTTATTTCATTGTAAATAATTTAAAAATATATTAATGTCATTTCATTATATTATGCCTTATTTGATCCTACTTCAAACAAGTATTTCAGTAGCCTGATATATTTTTCTATTTAGCTGAACGACGTTTTAACTATAGATATAATTGGAGCAACTAACATTATATTTCTTATGTCATGCCCTTTGTTTAATTTAGTTTAGTTGGTGCATATTTGTCTTTGCATTTTACAATCAAGAGGATTTAATGAAACTTATGTTTTGATATTTAATGATGAGTGTAATGGAAGTAAATGTGATAAAATATAAGGTGTGGAATGAAATGAAATAAAAATACTATATAATTATTTGTACAATTTATGTTGAAACAGAGCAAAGTTTCTGTTTTATTATTTGAAAAGTAAATAGAATGGTCAGGTGATTAGGGAATAATAACTTGATTCTATACATATTCTCCACGTTGGAGGGAAGAAAAACATAGGTATTAAATGGAATTGGATGAAATATATTCTATTATATTCCATTAAACATAAAGTTGATGTGCTAACTTGAAACTATGATAACTTAATCATTATTGAAATACCCTTTATAGGTAGCATTTGGTGGCCAATCTTCTTCGTAGCTTAACATACCACCTACATTAAATTTATCTCTGATTGACCATAAAGGCCTACCCTCCATAATAATTTAGTGTAATTAGATAAATTAATTATCTTAAGTGTTTTGAAGGACTCACTCCTCAACATTTTTTTTTTTTTGGTAAAAACTCACTCCTCAACATTAAATTGACCAAGGGTGAGCTTTAATCTTTTTTAGGTAATCAAGTGAGCTTTAATCTATGTTATCTTGGATCACTCGGAGCTTATAATTCACTCTTGCCTAAAACCATGTGTCTTTAATTCAGTCCACAGGGTCAACAAAGTACCACATTTGGGAGCCTCATAGGTGTTTATAGTATTTTAGAGCTATCTAGAAGATCACTAAGAGGAGCTAAAACAGAAGTCTTTGAGAGCAAGAAGGGGAAGAAATTCAATTTGAGCTCATGGTTATTCAGTCTGTGCTCAACGAGTAGAAAATCTAAAGCTGAGAACAACAAAAATAATCCTCTATCCCTCATTCCCTTGGTCAAATTTCTTGCTGTAGAGATAAGAGCTGCAAATGAAAATAGAAGGAGCTAGAGCCATCTTTTAGATTAATATTGATACAATAACAAGTTTTAAAAGCTACGAATCCAGGACTAAACTTTAAACCTCTCCCAAAGATAGTATTATGAAAGATCAAACACATGTTCTTATCCTCATCTGTTCAGCTCCTTAGTGCCAACTGAACTACTATCATTTGGTAAACACCCATTTTTTAAATAACAAACACTCCAATCATATATTATACCATCAAGTAAAGTTTAAAATATTGGTGATAGTAGCAACTAGGATTGATATAATGGTGGAGTATTTGAGTAGTTTATATGAAGTTATAACCTTATAAGTTCGATCATAATGCCATCATTGTATAAAAAATATTATTGATGAGATTCTATTCTAATAGGCTACAAATGAACTACCCCAATAAGTAGTTTATTATTACAATTCTATTTAAAATCCTAAAATATTAGGTTCAAAACTATCAAAAAAAATTAATAGTTTAATGTTATGCTCACGACAAGTGCACCGGTCGCACAAGAAATAAAGAAGTGAGTAAAATATTATTCCTGCAAGGATTAGGTGCTCCAAGCATTAGTTCACTATTTTTACTTAATTTGGAAAAATCAAATGGTGGTTTGAAAAGAGTAATGTCTAATTGATGAGAAATCAATTAAAATAAATTACTAAAATAAAGAAACTAGTTAAAAACAAGAAAACAAGATTTCAATTGAATTTTATAAATAACAAGAAAAATGTAGCTAGGGTTCGAATTCCCCCAATTGCTCACCTCACTTGTTGTTAATTCTTAATTACCATTCCTTTTAAAGATGACGATCGATTTTCTAAATTTGACTAGGCCCGAATGTCTCGACATATCCTAGCCCTGTATTCCCCTTAAGATTTCTAATGTCTCAGTGAAACTATAACTGAAATACGCATTAAGAATCAGAACCAAATGATTGCATAAGTTATTAGCCTATGTCTAGGTCAAACAACGTTATGATGAATTAGCATTTCCAGTTTCATCTACGTACCAACATCTCTATTGCCATAGATAATTCTTAAATCATTCTATGGGCAGCAAACCCATAAAAAGCATTAAGGACAAAAAAATTCATTCAAACAAAGAAAGGAAAGATGCATTAAGAAATTAATCATCAAGTAATAAATTCACATATTATCCTTTGAGAGACTTGTGTCGAATTCCTAATTAATCTTTCTTTAAATATCACCAATCAATTCACTTAGTTAGTTAAACCTTAATCTCTTGGCAAACTAACCCTTCACCCCTCTTCAAGAACCTAATGTCTTAGTGTTTCTTAAAAAGGCTTAAGTATTAAGAACAAGAATCACTTGATTGCAAAGATCATATGTCTACGTATGCAAACCTAGGATGAAATTATGAAAGTAATTAATATACCAATATGTCTATTGCACACACAAACCATAGATCATTCTACAAGGAGTAAACTCATACAAAGCATTAAAATAGCATAATTTCATTCAATAAAAGAGGGGAGAATCCATGTCAGAATTCAACACCAACAAACTTCAAAGGATAAAGAGTTCCATCTTCCCCTAACTACAAGAAAATCTAGCCTTCTAAGACAGTAGATGAAAGAAAACTATAAAAATCCATCTCCCTTTCGTGAAAAGCTCCTTTAGAAAGTCATGAAGGTAATATTTATAAAGACATTGGTTCCTAAGAATTAGGATTGAGCTTTTCTTTTATAGGCACTCATGTGCCAAATCTTCTAAATAAGATTTTATCTGTTTTTTGTAGCAATTAATCATGATATTTGTGTCTTCATATCTTCTCAAATATCTAAAACACAAAAAAAAACTTAATTAATCATAAAAAATAATTTAATAACAATGCATCTCATTATTTTAATATTAACAAATTATAAACATTATATTCATATTTTAGTCCTTAATTTAGGAGTTTTAAGTCTCCATTTTGCAATCAAAATATTATGAACTTAAGGTGTATCATTTGATTAAAAAACTTTACGTATTGACATTGAACAAGAAAAGCGATAATAAAGTGGTGTACCTAGGGGTGCTAAACGAGTCAGGGGCCTTTGGCTAGGCTCGTGAAAGCCTGAGTTTTTATGTCTGAAATTGATTGTTGGAACCAGGCTTGGACTTGTATAAAAGTTCGTTTAATAAAAAGGTCTCAGGCTCCAATCCAAAAGATCAGTCTTAGAGCCTCTCAGGCTGGCCTAATATATTAATTTTTATTTTTATTTTATATTTTTTATACTACTTGTGATAGCCCTCTCTCTCTCTTCAATCCATTTCATCCCATTTTGTTAATTAAACAGACTTTTTGAATGATTTTGTTTTATATTATGTTGTTTGGGTATTCATTAAATTTATGAATATTTATGGAAAAACTAGTGTTGTTGACTGTATATTTTGTTTGGATAAATTTTTGCTGTCTTATTTTGTTTTAAACAGGCTAAACCAGACTTTTATTTTTTTGTAAATAAGACAGGCCACAGGCTGAAATTATATTCATAACAGGTAACAAGCTTGGTCAGGATGACACATTTAAACATAGGCTTAGCATTTTAAGATCAAAACTCGGCTCGGCTCGGCCCATTAATACCCCTAGGTGTACCCTTGTGGAAAGTCTAAAATTATTGGGGAGATTTATATACTAAAAAAAATATTGGTGAGATTTATTTGAATAAGTTTTAACAATGAATTACAATATATAATAGAATAAACATCACATTTCAGTCCAAATTTTTTAACTTATTAGATTATTAAGTCATTTGATTTATATGATTTTCTTATTGTCTATTCATATTCAATGTATGACTTTTTCACTCACGCCCACATTGTATTCAAACTCGAATTCTCATTAATATCTTTCCTATGTGTGATATAATAATATTGAAAATATGGCAATCAAACACACTCACTCACAATCAAAGTAAACAAGAAAAGAAATAAATATAGATTTATCTTGATTCATCCCAATTTAGGGTTACGTTTAGCAATAGGTTTTCCAATAAATTATGCTCTAAGCATTCATTACAATTCTATTATGAGATATTATTAATTGAGCTTTTCAATATAAAATTAAAATTTATCCTTGGAAGTATTATGAAGAAGATAATTTATACTTGTATATTATTTTGCTTCTATATATATTAAGAGATGCAAGAAAGAAGCATTTTAATATGTTTATTTTTTAATTTTCATTACCAAAATTACGTTCAATACTATTATACAATTAAATTATACTTGGAAATGTTATAATTAAAGAAGATAATTTGTACTTGTATTTATTTTACTTCTATAAATAGAATATACTACATATATTTATCATTAAAATATTACAAGGAAGAAGCATTTTAATATGTTTATTTTTTATTTTTATTATCAAAATTTTTTTATTTTATATATATATATATATATATATATATATATATATATATATATATATTGATATATACATTTGTGTGTGTATTCTAATTCTAACTATTAAGTATCCTATACAGTGCAGATCCTTATTTTCAAATTTAAATAAGTTTTAGTTAATTGATGTAAATCATTATAATTGTTTACGAATTAGTTTAGATATGATATTTAATCTCATTTGAAAACACAACCACTTAAAATTTGAGAGTTTATAAGAAATTAAAATTTGAAGACGGATTTAAAAAATAGGGTATTTTAAATAAAGAATTGATATGTGATAAGCAATACTAAATAAAGATTTGCTAGGAAATAGAACAACAAAGAAGAATATGTGATTTCTAACTGAAATCACATGCAAATAGAGAAAGAGAATACATTAAATTAAATTCTCACCCTTAAGAATAAGGATTTTATTTTATTATATGAAGTAGATTAACAATAAAACATAAGAAAATAAGGTGGCAAGTAGTTCAACTAGTACAGTCCTATGCAGGTACAAGAATTGACAATCAAATCTCATTTCTAGTACTCCTTGGAGCCACAAAGTAGTTATTTCATTTTTTAAGGTGTAACGTGTCTGAGTTTATGTACGTGTGATCTCAACAATAAAGCTAATAATTCATAATATTTTTATGAAAGTAATTTTAAAATTAAGTTGTGAAAATACTATTATGAATCCTTTAAGTTTCCTATGCATCATGTGAATACAAGAATTTAAAATCTCATTTCTAGTACTCCTTGGAGCCACAAAGTAGTTATTTCCTTTTTAAGGTGTAACGTGTCTGAGTTTGTGTATGTGTGATCTCAACAATAAAGCTAATAATTCATAATATTTTTATGAAAGTAATTTTAAAATTAAGTTGTGAAAATACTATTATGAATCCTTTAAGTTTCCTATGCATCATGTGAATACAAGAATTTATCTGCTTCAATAATGCCTATGTGCCTTTCCATGCACATTAAAAAAGAAAAAAAAGTCCTATGTGTGCATTATAAAGTTAGGTGCAGCCGCTGAAATTTTCTTTCCATATGTTCTTATTTTAAAATAAATTATGTCTAGTGCTTACTGATACTTGACAGCCATTGGCCCCAACCAAAATAAAAAATACAAAGTAAAAGAGGGTATGTCTGCTATTAGTCATTTAAGTTCATCAAATTAATGTTTAGAGAATAACATCTTCCCATTCCGATGGCCCAAGAGACTTTTTGAAAATTTTCTAAATGTGATTAATCTAATAGCACCATTTTTTACTTTTAATTTTTTGACATGTACTTTTTGACACGTGTTAGAAAATGATATGTTATTTATATAAAGTATAAATGAGTTTACATTTCTACGGCTGTTGTACGTGCAACAATTAAATATTTGTCATATATATACATGAAAGCATTAAATGCGGAGAATCATAACCATATAAAAGATGAAAGTATTAAATATGAGAAATCATAACCATATACATGTCGTTACTGTACGTAAAACGGCTGCAGAAATAATTTTACCTTATATAAAAAGTTTGTAACGATATAGCCACACATAATTGATAAAAATGTAATTTTATCTAATATATATATATCAAAATTAAATTCTTAAGAGAATAAGCATTTGCTATATTAAATTTATAAAATATTTAATTTTTTCTTCTTTAAAAAGTTAAATTAATTTAATAAAATAATAAATATGTTGTATTTAATCTTTGACATGTTAAAAAAAATTAAATTAAATCTTAGCATTGCTTACCGTACGTGACACGCTCTTCACTTCTTATTCGGATTCATGTGAATCTGCAACCACTTTGATTGGATCCAAATGTCAAGGTTACGAGATTCTGAATTATTTCCATTTTGATATAGCATAGGCCCCATGTGATTATGAATATGACCCATTATTGTAGATATTTCTGAATGTAATTTGTCGGCAGAAACCGTTGCTAATATCTAGTAAAGATCAACTCTAATATCTTGAAGTCTTGTATAACAAATTGTCCTATTTAATTTATATTTTCAAAGTCCCCCATACCAATAAATTTAAAATTGTAATAATCTATAGTGAGTAATATCATTTTTTTGTGAACACATAAGTGACGCATGTATGCTACTTTTACCAAAACTAAGCTCACTTATTTTCTTGTTCCTTTCAAAAATAGTTTTTACCATACAAGAGTATATATATAATTTGTTTAATTAAAACAACTATATAGAAAAATGTACTTAGTTTATTTTAAAATAAGAGTTTTTTTTTTAACATTTGTGAAAATTTACGGGACACTTAAACCAATATTATTAGAACCGATTCGGTCATTGATCCAGCCTTGGTACATAATTACAGGCCGTGAGTTACCGTTGAACTGCATGACTAGGGTTAGTACATAAAAACCTATATTTTATCCATAAAAATGCATAAAATATTCAAATATATGTAAAATATTGTTATACTTGGCTGCAAGCATATATAATTTTTGTGGAGATAAAAAAAAATATACAATATATTTAAAAGAAATAAATAAAGAAAAAAAATTCAAGTATCAGGTAATCATATATAATTCTTCTACCAAATATCATCAACTAAACATATTTAATAATTATAAGGCATTTACCAACAACTCTTCTTATAAAAATGGATTTGTAAAGAATTAATATGTCACATTCTCTTAATTTATTGTTTCACAAATTGCTTCAGTCGTAGAAATTGAATTTGAGATCAGTATATTAATAACAAACAAAATTAAAAAAGTTTTTGAGTTCCACACTTATTTTAGACAATACAAGACAATTTTATTTTATTTTTTATTTTATAAAAATGTATGACCCATTAATTTTTATTACCCAATCAGATCACCAATTTTGATCGAGCCGATATATACCACCAGATACTTAACTCGAATTTGTCAGATGATTAGTTCGCCGAATTTCGGATCTAACCGGCTATATAACCCTGCTTAAAAGAACATAATGGACACCGACAGGACAGACACTTTACACGGAGCGATTATTATTGTAATTATTTGTGCTCGCATATAAGTAATTCAGTAATTGCTTGTAATTTTGTAAATTTACGTAACTTAAATGCTGTTAGTCACATCCCACGAGTTGCAGGTACAATGAATAAATGTTTGACAAATTCTTGGTTCGAAGCCAATGTCCGCTTTTTCACAACAACTCAATCTTTCACATATTTAATAATTCTTTATAAATTAATATGAAATTTATGCCCTTTGAGTAATTATTCATTCAAATGTGATTTTGATTATTATTATTATTCAATCTATATTCATTCTGTCAACATCACTTTTTGCACTTAGGTATCTAAACACAAACTATTTCATTTTACTCGTTTTTAATCAAAATTACCTAAAATCAAGTTTGCAAACGTTCACCTAAACACACTTACCAATCACTATTTCATGTTTTACATGTATTATGGATTTAATTTTGATATATCGTTAATATCAAAAAATTATATTTTATTTAATGATATAGTGTGACATCATTAAATGAAGTTCACTTCAAATGTAATTATTAACAAAATAAAATTCATTACTTCGACTTTTTTTATGACATTTTCGACTTCATGGTTGATTATATAACTTTTTTTACCAAATAATATAACCGTTCGATTATTTCGACTTAGAGATAACTATGATTGGGAGTTGGAACGTAGCCCTCAAAGAACAGGTCAAACGCGTTGCATCTGTACCACAGCGTATGAAGAAGTGACTGGCCAATTAATGCCTCGCATGGTATAAATTTCTTTTGTTTGCTTTATAGCTGCGTGTCTCTTTCCTTTTTTTGTTGCTAAGAAGTTACCAACAAAACCTGGTTGGTACGTGGTGGTGGCCATCCGAAATTATTAGACAAGCACAAGAATTGAAGAGTATTCAGACATTCAGACATTGGATCAATAATCTACTATACGTTGCAAATTCTACGTGTCAAAATTGCGTTAGATCATGTGACTTCGATAGGAGCCAAGTTAGAAGTGTGACACATCACTTGATCTTGTCCTTGTTGTGTTATATATTAAGTCAAGGATCCTCCGAAGTGCACAAGTTATTCTTCCAACGGAGACATGATCACATGACAAGCAACAGCAGGCCATGTCTTTTTCTTTTGTAATTTATTGCTCATATCATATGGATACAAATAAATAAACCAAGATGCAAATAAGCAATTACATTTTGATATAATAATGACTTATACTTTCGAGAGAAATTATTCTCACTTTACTAGCTTACGTATAATAGTATTATTGACAACGCCCAAAATCATCGACGCAGGTGATGCTCCTTCATTCTCAAGTAATAATAATAATAACACTACAACAACACTTTGTACCTACCCGGAACTTCACTTCACTTCACTTCACTTCAACTCACTTTGCTTATTTCCCAAAATTACATAATATTCCTTCCAATTTTTAACTTTCATCATTGATTACCACAATCACTGTTTATCAACCCACTCAGCAGCAACCCTTCCAGAGCTGCGTCCACCCAACTTTCCGAATGAACTCACATTGGATAATCCCTTGAAGCTGCTGCTACCACCGTCGTTTAAGTTTCTGAGTTTCCTTGACTTGCTTAGCTTGGAACAATTGACATCAACACTATCTTGATCAGCTAATTCATCATGGCTTTCTATCTTCACAACCACCAATCTAGCTATGGTGCTTCGACAAAATGGACAAACTGGTGCAGTAAGACAAGCAGTGGCAGGGTTGGGCTTGTTGTGGCAACAGAGGGCTAGTGTGCATTGTGCACACATTTGGTGGCCACAGTTTTGAACTTCAATTGTGCATACCTGCTCAAAGCAGATGCAGCATAATTCCGATTCACTAACCTGCATAACATTAGACCCCATCATGAGGTGTATAAGTTTTATTGGCCCTACAATTAGAATACAAATATAATGGTTCAACTTTTTTGACTTCCTATTATGAATTTTCTGATTTATCAGGAACTATATTTCCATACTCTTGATTCAATCCACTTGCAAAACACAATAAGTTGGTATATATACACACAGGGTGTCAAATTACCTCAGAGATATCGTCATCCACCCCATCAGAATGTGATGGAGATGGAAGAGAGTATGCACTACCCTTCAATATGTTTTTCTCCCTTTCTCTGTTTGCGTCCATCAAGGCCTGTTCTAATAAAGCCTTGGCTTCCGGATTAAGTTCACTGATGAACTTCAATGGAGATGGCCAGACAAGAGGCTCTGCAGATGTAGGATTTAGCAACGACGCACATGCTCTATGTTTGTGTTTCAGAGCAACCATATATGGTATTCGCCTGCACAAACACACCAAACAACATGAAGACAATTCCATTTATTCTGAGAATCAATGATGAGGAAAGATGCCTGGTTAAATTCAATGAATCTATGTTACTAATGAATGACCAAATCTTTAAATGAGTTAAGTTGCTCCCTAAAGTTAAGAAGTTGCAACAGGAAGAAAAATGCCAAATATGAGTACAAGAGGAGGGCCCATCAAAACAAGTGATGGAATCATCAGATCAAGGATTTTCCTAAAAGACTTGAAATTTGATATTACAACAACACAGTAAGATAACTAAACCATAACCAAACAAGCCACATAAATTAAGATGAAGTGTGTTTAGATAAGTTAAGAATTAGAGTTAAAGAAACTAAACAATACCCTGATGCATCACGTTGAAGACGATCCGCACCCCATGCCAATAGTTCACGAATGCAATCAAGAGATCCTCCTCTAGCTGCTAGATGAAGAGGAGTGCTCCCAGGACAACTGCAAATAGCAATTGATTAAACAACAAAACACAAAGGAACACATCAGATTCAAGCCACTCACCAAAGAGCTTTTAATTTGAAAGATCATTACCCATATCCACCAGTTGCAGCAGAAACAAGAGCTCCATTATCTAATAGAATATGCACACATTCAGGCCGTCTTTGACGTGCTGCCAAGTGCAATGGCGTTGTACCCTTTCCATCTCTAATATTCACAAACCGAACAAATCCCCTGAAATGAATTGAAAAAAATAAAAAAGAGTAAAAACAACAACAACAACAAAAAAAAAAACATAACAGCATCAATTGATACCGAAACAGAAAAGGACCAACCAAGAAGCAGCCACAGGACTAGATTGAGCAGCAGAAAGAATTGCCTTCAGACAAGAAGAATGACCGTAATAGGCAGCATAGTGTAAGCAGGTTCTTCCATAAAGCGTATCAAACATCAAAACCTGAGAATTTCACATTTCAGTTTTCGAAATTTAAAAAAAGAATGGTAACTCAGGTATGAGACTGAAATGAAACATTTAATTACATTAGCTCCAGCTTCAAGAAGCTTCTCAACACAAGCGATCTTTCCGTGCATTGCAGCCAACATAAGCGGAGTCTGAAGAATTCACAACGCAATGAAAGGTAAGCGAAGGTACCATTTTTTTGAATTAGGGAATATAATATAGCCACAAGTTAATTACCTGCTTTTGTCGATTTAAAATATCTGGGTTAACAGATCCATCTAATAGCCTTGATAGAATCTGCAAAGAAAAAAACCCAGCAAAAAATCTGAGAGACCCACGAATGAATATCCAAATCTGCGTGAATTGAACGCAGAGAAGAAAGTGAGAACTGAAAAGAAGAAGAAGAAGAAGAAGGGACCTCGATCTGGCCATTAGCTGCAGCAATATGAAGAGGAGAGTGGCGATCGTAGAGAGTGGTGTGGTGTAACAGAGTTGGGTCTGTCTCTAACAGAGTTGTGACAATTTGTAGGTCACCGTGTTGCACGGCGGTGAAGAGGCCATGGTCATGGCTGCTTCTGCAACTAAGGCCTTGACCCATTATGCAGAGTCTCAGGTGGTGGTTGACGGAGAGGTGAAGTGGTTCACCTTCCCCTTTTGGCCTGGCTGCGCCACCTGGTGGACTCGATTGCTGAATGTTCTGAATAAATAAGATTTTACATTACAAGTTGTAGTTGTGTGTGTTGTGTGTTGTGTGAAACAATGGCAAAGGTTTCTAGAGAGAGAGAGAGAGGGTAGAGATGGTAGCTGACCGTGTCAGTGATTAGCAGTTACTGAGAATGACTTCGGGCAGCGCTTAGATTCCGCGTAAACCTTAGCTTCCCCTAACCCAAATATTACCCGTTACTGTTATTCAAACTGATGGCCCATTTTTTTCAACGACCGTGCCTAATTACTGCAAAAAAAAAAAAAAAAAAAATCATTTTACGTAATACGTACTGCATATCAATATTTTTCGTACTGTAATCATGATGCAATAAATGACCAAACTGCTTATCCATGCGAATTATCATGTTCCTTTTAATTATGTTTCATTTTAAAAATATATATATATATATTACATTTTTTGAGGGAAAAAAACTCCCTTAGAGAAATTTTAATTTAAAACTATTTAACCGTCAAAATAGACTAATACAAACGCACACTTTAGACCATTGATGTTTCAAACAAGTTAATTGAATTAACAAAATTTGATGAACAAGATTTTACTAATTTAAGGTAGCTTTAAAAGTAGTTTATAATATATTTTTATCACCAGCTAATATAATATTAATATTAATATTAATATATATATATATATATATATATATATATATGATTATTTAGTATTAATCCTCTATATTTGACTAAAGAAGTTATTTTTCATATTTAAATATAGAAAATGATCTGTTTATAATTTTTTTTTAAATTACACTAAATATAATCGGCCATACACTCTTAATTAAAATATGACTGATCAGATATAATGTAATTTATAAAAGTTTCTAAATAAAAAATATGTAAATATACCATTTCTCTTCAAATATATGACCTTTGTTAAAAAATAAAATAAAAAACTAAAAAATCTTACTCTATATATCTACATATGTCTATGCATATAGGTCTCGTATTATGTTACTGCTGTAATCGTTTTTTAAAAAAAGAAAAAAGAAAAAAAGAGCTTTATGTGTAGTGAATTATTTCTCTCATGTTTTTTCAATATTTCACCTTTAAAAATTGATTTGATTAAATCTATTAGTTTAATATTAATTGTAATTATTTTTCATTATAGGTGAATGAAGAAAACAACCAATTAATTAAACGAATCAGTTAAAAGGAATTTGTCTCAATTCAATTAATATGATAATAATTGCAATTATTTTATTTGACGGATTAAAAGAAACGAAATAATTAAAATATTAAATAATTTAATTAAAATAAATTTTATATCAATTAAAAATTCATTTTTTTATAGACAATTAAAAATTCATTAAATGTAACTAAAATTCACACAAATAAATATTATATTCTCAATAACATATTACAATGAAATTAAATTCACTCATCAAAAAGATAATAATATAATTATCTTGTAACTATATAATTCATCAAACATATCAATTAAATTATAACAACTGTTTAAAATGAATTAAAATTCAATTTAATGAATTTATCAAACATAGTAATTATTATAGTAATTCAATCAAAAAATTTCTGCAACAATTATTTTAACTTCAAATTACAAAGGATTCATATATTTATAGTTTTTTTCAAGGGTTTCAATTTTATCATATTATAAATACATTTTGTGTGCAGTTCAAATCTATTAAAAAATAAAAAAAAAATGCTGCATAAAAATCAAAGGGTCACTGATAGAAGAAAATTATAACTCTTATATAACATGAGAAAATATTTTTCCATTTTTCAAATTATTCATTCCTTATATATTTTATTTGGTTTTTTTCATTACTCAGTTTATGGTTTTATCTTGTTTATTGTAGTTTAATTAATTTCTTTTATCTTTTTCCTTTGTATAACCTTCTACTTTTTTTTTAATTATCTTCAAGTGTTTCTTTTCCTAATTTTAGAAATATAAATAACCCAGACAACATAAAATCTGTATAATATTTTTCATTACTTCATGTTAAGTTATTTTTGTTTCATTCAATTCGTCTTTTCTTAACATGAAGTAATGGGAAAAAAAAATGTATATCAAATAGCATGGGTGATAATTTTGAGGTAAATTAGGGAAGCACAGGGGAAATAGACTTTATTGGACATATCAGCTGCTAGCTAATTTTGAGATGTGAAGTTTAACTCAGATTTGACTTGTGTGTTAATAGGTTTGGTGAGTGAACTATTCTATGATATTCGATCTCATTTATATCAAACTTAAATCACATAAATCGTACCAAAAATTGATACGTCTATTAGTCACTATGATAAATATGAAATTTAATATTTTCATTAATAAAAACCTTATAGTAACCCTGCAAGCCGAGTGATGTGTACTTTTCTCATGTGTTGTTGAAGATATTTTAAGTCCCTGTCTCTCTCTAGGAGATACTATTCGACACGCTAAACTGTGTTTAATTCATTTATTTAGTTGGGAAGTCCAAGCTATATAATTACATATCATATATCATTGATAATAATATTTTATTCAGAAGCAAACATATAAAATTAAAGAGGATCAAAATGTTGAAAAGGGGATCACAATGACTAAAAGTTCAGATTTCAAACTAGGCTCCACGCGTTGCCAATTTGGATGCAACTGTCTGGTCTAGCTATTTACTTGGGTTTTTGACCCTTTTGTCTCTAATTAAATAATTAATAACCAATTTGCCCCTCCCCCAGAACTATCCACCATCATGCTCCCATTTAGTCGATTATGTTGCACTTTTAATCGACTAAATGGGCTAAACTCAGAAATTATGAAACGCGAATTTCAGTCGACTTAAAACTCATCTTAATCGACTAAATTGTTTGCACTTTTAGTCGACTAAGCACATTATTTAGTCGACTAAATGTCGCAGATCAGGTTTTTTAAAAAAACCCCCCCCCCATTTCGCAAAGGGGGTTATTTTCAAACCCTAATCGACTAAAAGGCTGTATTCTGTCCCCTCTCTCCAACCAAGTCCGAATCTCAACCCTTGAAGGTGCGATTGAAGCTTCCTTGGTTCACACTTGCGAAATCGACATTTAGGTAACGTATTCTGACTTGCATTTGGTTTTAAGTTTAGTTTTTATTTTGGTTTTCTTCATGCATTTGATTTATGTTTGCGGTTTTGTGGATTTAGGTTAGGGGTAGGGTGCTAAGTGTGTTGTGAGGGTGAGGGTTAGGGTTGATGTGGTGCCTTAGGCGTAGGGTTAGGGTTAGGGTTAGGGTTTACGTTGCTGTTTTGGTTGGGTTGTAGTGTTTAGGGTTAGGAATGGGTTTTTGTGTTTTGTTTTAGGGTGTAGGGTTAGGGTTAGGGTTAGGGTTAGGGTTTCTGTTTCTGTTTTAGGGTTAGGGATTGGGTTTTTGATTTCTGTTTTATTTTAGGATTAGGTTTTGTTTTTTATATTGAATTTTAAATTTTTTGATATTGTTATTGTTCATTGATTTTTGTTTCCACTTGCATTGTAGGTACAGTTGTTCCCATGGCTGGCCGTAGAAGATCGTCTAGCACTGGAAATGAGAGACGACAAAAGCTACGACAAGACCATCCGTCTTCGTCAAGGCCACAAGAGGAAGACCCCGCTGCTGTGGACCTCCCATTCGGATACTTGTTCGAGAATGACCCGGTGGTTCATGAATCTTTTGTCCGTGACTTTGTTAACCGACCGATTTGTGGGGCCAAATCACTTGATACAGCCTTTTTTGAACAAGAAGGTTTTAACATTGTGAGGTGGTTGGAGGAATCACATCTTAGGACCTTGGCTGAACTGTCGTGTTCATATTCTGAGCTGCATGTACGGGCCTTCTACTATAATCTCAGCTACCATCACGGTGAGCTGAGGTCTAGGGTCTGCGGGGTGGACATCATCATGACGGCTCCGGTATGGTTGGAGTTACTGGGGTATGACTTTGATTCTGCGCAGACTGTGGAATATGACGCAGACAGCGGGACCATACTTCCAGGATATACACGCGGTGATGCCGTGCAGGAGCAGAGGAGAGTCCGTGGGCAACACATTGCCTATACGGTGGGGTTGCTTACTGTGGAGTCCCGCATACTACACTATGTCATCACCCACATTTTGTTTCCGCGAGCGTTCAATCATTCCAGGGTGTTGGAGCATGACATTCCCATCATGTGGGCTATCCGACATGGTACTTCGGTGAACTGGAGGCACTACGTGTGTTGGATGATGTATAAGGCCAAACACAAGGGTGCACTTCCATTTGCTTGTCTTGTTCAGAGGATATTGGAGCATTTTGATGTTCCCATGGGTAATGTGACCTTGAAGAAGACCACAGGGTATAATCATAAGTTTGGAAAACGTCTACTGGAGCAGTGCAAGATGACAAAGAACCCCCAAACAGGAGTGTGGCAGTTCACAGGTGCGGCTGATGTTGAGGTTCCTGATGTTGCTCCAGTTGTAGACATGGTTGACCCCGAGGTGGAGGATGATGATGAAGATGATGATGAGGGTGACCAGCAGGAGATAGCTGAGCCTGAGGGTGGGTTTTCATTACGTGATGTCATGAAGGGCATAAACGCCACGCTGAAGAAAATAGGAAAAATGGCGCTGAAACACAAAAAATGGAGGAAGAGTCACGTGCAGAAGGGAAATGAAAGATTTAGACATATACAGGGACGGTTCAAGGGTGTTGAAGATAGGCTTGCTCGTCTAGAGCTTGGACGAGGACAGCAGATTGAGGATGTTGCAGGGCAGGGGGCTGATGTGTCAGATGAGGATGACGAGGAGACGGCATCCGAGGAGGATGAGGATTAGATTTAGGGTTTATGTTTCTATTTTACGTTTCTAGTGTATGTTGTAATGTAATTGACTTCGGTCTTCCTATTTTACATTTGTAGCTTATGTAATATTATGGTTATGAAATGAACTATTTGATGTTCCCATCATGTTGTGAACCGTTTACGTAATTATTGTTGTTTTCTTGTTTACCTATTAAATGACAAATATCTTTTACCTTCATGTTTTCAATTTGTGTCTAATCACAGTCCAACGGGTCTAAACTGTCCAATGAAATTCAGAACAGGTGACCTTAACAGAGTTAAAATAAGAACACAAGTTTCGGATACC